TTTTTTATTTCTTCTTGTACCCAGTCGTGTTCAAGCAAGTTGTTCTTCAGCTTCCAAATGCGTGATCTTTTCTCGAGTGAAGATATTTTTATGCGCCTCATATACATGCTAAAACTGTGGAATGAATAAGGAAGGTAAACAGCTGATGCCCCTGAAATATGATGGTGATACTTAAGAAGAATATTACATATACCATGAACTTCTAAAAGAACAAACACAGCTGCTTTGGAAGTGCAGCGCAGTGTTTCTTGGAAGTGATGATGGTATGACTCCAACTCGTGCACTTTGGACATGTCATCAGAAGGGATGTGTCCTGGCAGACACTGTGCCTACCAGTGAGACAGTGAGAAAGAAGAAGGCACCCGGTGAGATGGATGGTGCAGAGGCTGCAGCCCTAGGCTCTGGCTGATGGTGGTTCTGTGTATGTGCAGGATCAGGTAGGCTTCGCTGGGGTGCCACCATGTGGTGTATATACCAACAGCACCATCTGGGGCCTGGCACTGCTGCTGTTCTGCTTCAGTCCTTGTGGGCATACATGGCTCACCATGCATCAGGATGGACTCAGCCAGTGAGTTCAGGTTTAGGTTTTAATTCCGATTGATTTCCTCTGAGTCATTGATCTTGGTCAGGAGTCAGGGAAAAGAAGCAACACAATTCTGTCCAGCTCTGGCCCAGGCAGCATACTTTATGTAGGGATGCTAAAAAATCTTTGATCAGGAACAATAGAATGTGATAAAATATGTTAAGTCAGTGAATTTAGGAGGACAAGTAAATGCTATTAAAACATTGGAAAAGCAGAGTGCTAAAAAGCAGTGACGTCAGCCTAGAGACTATGCCTGATTCAGTTATGGTTCTCATAACTGACCGCCATACACTTGAGAGCTGGGCCATGAACAAGAATGACAGAAGAACCAATGCCCCTGAACCACATTGATGGAGAAGAGCACTGAACATACCATGGACCACCAAGAGAACAAACAGGTCTGTCCTGGAGAGAGTAAAACCAATTTGCTCTCTAGAGGCAAGGATTGTGAAGCTCCATCTCACATGTAGTTTGTTGTTAGGTGCCGTTGAATCAAGCACAACTCACAGTGACCCCATGAACAAAGATCTATCCTGTGCCATCCTTATAACCCCCAACACACAAGAGCCCACTGTGGCAGTCACTGTGCCAATCCACCTGGTCAAAGGTCTTCCTTTCCCTTACCCGCCCTCCACCTTCCAAGCATCACGTCCCTCTCCAAGGAATAGCACGCTCCTAGCAACATTGCCAGAGTATGTGAAGGGAAGCTTCATCATCCCTGCCTCCAAAGAGCACTCCAGCTGCAACTCCTCCAAGACACATCTACTTGTTCCCTGGGCCATCCATGGGATGCTCAGCACTCCTCTCCAGCACCACAGCTCAAAAGCATAAATTCTTCCTCTGCCATCCTCAAGTCATCATCCAGCTCTCAGATGCACAGCAAGTTATGGGAAGGACTATGGCCTTTACCAGACGCACCCCAATCTTCAAACTGACACCATTACGCCTCAACAATCTGAGAGGTCCCTAACTTCAGAAACTCCCAGTGCAATGTGCCTCTCCATCTCCTGACTTCTGGCACCAAAGGTTTTAATTGTGGATCCAAGCAAGATGAAACTGCTGACACTTTCCGTCTCCTCTACATCCATCATGATTTTGTCTGTCAGTCCAGTAATAAGAATCTTTGTTTACTTGACATTGAGATGCAATCCGTACCGAAAGCTGGATCATTCCTTGATCTTCTGTAATAAGTGCTTCAAGTCCTCCTCACTTTCAGCAAGCAAGATTGTGTCATCTGATGAGCAAATTATCTAACAACCTTGACTTTGTGAAGAGGAGGGTGGCATCAGGATTGGAGGGAGAAACAAGGCAGTGTTAAGATGCCACTGAAAGATGTGAGTGTGAAGAATGAGGTCATTTTACCATGACACCAGGACCCCAGAGAAACTGCTGCTGTTTTTAATGTGAAACTTGTGCAGCGCTGATCCCTTGCAGTCCTGTTCACCGAGATGCCAAGCAGTGACAGTCTCTGCAGTTAGTTGGGCAGGACGCTAAGGTGACCTTCTCACAGTTTGGGGGTGCAAAGTTTAGTTTTGTTTGTTTTATCAAAGCCTTTTTTCATAATAATAAGAGTAATATATGTATGTTACAGCCAACTTGGAAATTCACAACATACAAGTATTCTAGTAACCGACTGGTATTTGGAAGCAGGAGTGTCACTCACTTTCTAAACAACATGCCTCTGGAAACTATGAACTTTGAGAAACAGCGATAGTTATAGAAAGGCTTCTTTTGTTCATGAGCTGTGCTCGACTCGATCGCAATCAACAACAACATTGTTGTTGTCATTGATATGTGTTATTGAGTTGAGTATGACTCATAGAAACCGACCATAGAAACCGATGAACAACAGGTCTGAACCCTGTCCCATCCTCATCGTCTCTGACACACTTGATCCCATTGCTGCAGTCACTGTATCAGCCCATCTTGTTGAGGGTCTTCCTCTCCTTTGCCAACCTTCTATCTTTTCCAGCATGATGTCCAAGGACTAGCACCTCTTGACAACATGCCCAAAGTGTGTGAGTCAAAGTTTCATCCTTCTTCCCTTCAGTGAGCACTCAGGTTGCACCTCCTCCAAGGCATATTTGTTCTTTTGGCAGTTCATGGTATATTTGGTACTGTTGGCCAACTCCACAATTCAGAGGCATTGATTCTTCTGTTATCCTTACTCATTGTCCAGCCTTCAGATGTTACTTAATTAGTTATCACTTATTCTGTCACTTCTTCATGCATTGTCATGTAAACCTCACATCTGACTCAGAAGCAAGTTCTGCAGGCTGTTCCATTTCACCAGTAATTCAACTGAAGTGGGGAGAAGTGAAGAAATTTGTCTAGAATTATACAGCTAAGGTAATTTAGGCATCAACAGTCTATCCCCAGAACCTCTAAAGGGGGGATTCAGGACTGGATGAGGGTCCGGCTATAGCCCAGAGGTCCCATTGTGCAGTTTTCATGCCACATGGTCTTTTTCTGCAGGTAAAGTTTGTTTTCTTGACTTTTGCTTTTCCTCACTGGACATTATTACATGAATAAATGGGTTTATGTAGTGTTACTATGTATAGTTCAGGAGTATATTTCAGAAACATGGTGCCCTAGGTAATACAAGAGGGAGTTCTGGTAAGACCTCCACTGTCAACCCTCAGGCATGCAGTTCAAATCCACAGCTGCTCTGCAGGGGAAAAATGAGGAGTCCCCTTCTGTGCAATTTACAGCCTCTGAAAACCTGTTGGAGAGTCAGCTGTGGTTGGTTCTGACTCGAAAGCACATGCCAACCATAACCAATTCAAGTGCTTGCTTGGGTACCCACCAAAAGGTGGGAGGAGGGTGTTCACCCAGCTCAGACATGCAGAGGTCAGCACCCTGGAACATCTTTCTGCCCAGACCTGCAGGGTTCAGAAAGAGTCACAGCTGGCCTGCTAGGACTTCTGGAGCACATTAGCAGGTCAGTACAGGATATCCACCTGAAGGACTGCTTTTATCAGTGGTCAGAGAGAGGACTGGATGTGACTGATCGTGCCCTTCTGTTCATCTTTCATGTCCTCTCATTTCCCCTAGGTCCCTGCAGCTTTCAGCGGCTCCTGAACTGGATGTTGGCCTTAGCTTGCCAGCACGGCCACCTGGCCATCGTCAAGCTCCTAGTCCTGACTCACGGAGCTGACCCTGAGAGCTATGCCACCAGGAAGAACGAGTTCCCTGTCATCTTGCGCCTGCCCCTCTATGCGGCCATCAAGTCAGGTGTGTCTTCCCAAGCCAGTGCTGTGCGCACAATCCACACGCACACTCATACACACGCACACACAAGCACTAGTGGTGGAACCCAATGGCTGGGTCATTACAGCTCCACAGCCCACACACATGCGTACACACACACACACACACACACACACACACACTCTCTCTCTCTCTCTCTCTCTCTCTCTCTCTCTCTCTGTCTCTCTCTCTGTCTCTCTCTCATACACATGCATACACATGCACTGATGGTGGAACCCAATGGCTGGATCCTCACAGACATCCTCTGCTCTCAGTAGGTCTCCATGTGGACACTTTTGCAGATTTACTATTTGTGCATTTTTCTAAATATTCTCACCCCCGGAGATGGATTCCAGTGAAAGAAAGAAACTGTGACAAATAAGACATTTTACTAGGCCACTATATAAGCCGTGCATTCTGGGTGGCACAGTCTCTTTGTGTTCTTCTGTTAACGTAAAGGTTGATGGTTCAAATCCAGAGAGCAGTACTATGAATAAAGAGCTGAAAAACTGCTTCTTCAAGAATTACAGGCATAAAGAATCCAGGCGCAGTTCTGCTCACATGGAGTCTACATCAGTCAGGATTGACTCAGCACCACTGGGTTTGGTTTAGGGCTCTTTGGTGGTGGTGGTGGTTTATTTTTAAAGTTTGTGTCAGCAAGGATTCTCCAGAAAAAAGAAAGAAATAGAAGAAACACATAAATGGGCTTTTTATATATTAGGAATATTTTTCTTTATCATAAATGCTACCAATATTTTTTCAGTCTGTATATTTCCTGATCTTTTATCATTTGTGATGACAAAGGTATGAAAGAATTTGTATGTGTGAGTGATAAAGTGTATATGAGAGAAAGTGTGTGTGTATGAAAGTGAGAGTATGACAATATGCATGAGTGTACATATGAGAGTGTGCATGAGTATGTGTCTGTGTGAGTGAATGGGTGTCAGTGTGTGTATGAATGAGTGCACGTGAGTGCATGTGTGAGAGTGTGAGTGAACATGTGTGAGAATGAGTGTAGACAAGAGTGTGTAAGTGTGTGAAAGAGTATGTATGCATGTACCTGAGTGTATGAGTTCATGTGTATGTGTATGAGAATGAGTGGTATATGATAGTATGTGTGTGCATGAGTGTATGTGAATGTATGAGTGTGTATGAGTTTATGAGTGTGTGTGTGTGAGAATATGAGCGAATGTGTGTGAGATTAAGTGTAGATGAGGGTGTGTGAATGCATGTGAGTGTGTGAATAAGTGTACATGGGTATATGAGTGTGTGTGTGAGAATGTCTGAGAATGAGTGTGCATGTGTGTGTGTGTGTGTGTGTGTGTGTAATGACTGTGCATGCATGTGAATGTGTGTGAGAGAGATTGTGTCAGTGGGAATGCGTGTGTGTGAGGGAGAGTGGCACCAGCAATCACTGTTCCCACATGCTGGACTGCTAACAGAAGTTTAGAGATTGAGTCTCCAGGGGAGATGATATTGTGTCTTGAGTCTTAACGTTGTCAAGCAGATGACAGACCAGAAACTTCAGAATTATTTCTGTAGAATGCCTTCTTCCAGAAACCTTAATATTGCTCCTAAGGCCTTCATCTGAGTCTATGCCCGCTTCATCAAGGATGTCTCCTGTACTTACAGTCACTGTTACAGAAACCTACACCGCCAGCATCAAGACTCCCATGACACTGAGTCACTTCTTTCCAGCTCACAGAACCCTTAGTACAGTTTCCACTGCTAAAAATCCTTACCCCTTACCTTTTGGTTAGCAGTGTGGTTATACACTGTGCTATTAGATCTCTGTAGCGTAGCCAAACTGACCCATGAAAATAAATCATCACTTCACAGAAAAAGGCAAACTTCCATGCAAAACCTGTACTTGAACCAGGAGGCATTCACCAGAACAGAGCCGATAAACACTGCATGGTTCAAAATTAGGAAAGGAATGTGTCAGGAATACATCCTGTCTCCATACCTTTTCAAACTATATGCAGAACAGATCATTCAGGAGGCTAGGCTTTATGAGGAGGAGTGTGGCATCAGAATTGGAGGAAGACTCGTCAACAACCTATGTTATGCAGATGACACAACCTTGCTTGCTAAAACTGAGGAGGACCTGAAACATTTGCTACAGAAAGTCAAGGCCTACAATTTTCAATATGGATTGAAGCGCAGCATCAAGAAAACAAACGTTCTCACCACTGGACCTCTTGGCGAGCACCATGATAGGTGGAGAAGAGATTGAGGCTGTTAACAATTACGGCTTGATTGGCACCACAGTCAACACTCCTGGCAGTCAAAAGACAAATGGCATTAGGAAAATCTGTCATCAGAGCCTTTCCAGAATACAGAAGAGCAATGATGTCAGTCTAGAGCCTAAGGCACACCTAATACAGGCCATGATCTTCACAATTAGTTTCTATGCATCAGAGAGTTGGACAATGACTAATGATGACAGAAGAAGAATGCCTTTGAGTTCTGGTGGTAGAGAGGAGTATTAAATAATACCATAGACTGCTAAGAGAACAAATAGGTCTTTCCTGGAGAGAGTGAAACCAAGTTGCTCCTTGGGAGCAAAGATTTTTGAAGCTTCATCTGGCATACTTTGGACTTGTTGCCAGGAGGGACCAGTCCTTGAAGAAGGACATCATGCTTGGAAGGGTGGAGGGACAGTACAGCACAGGAAAACCCAAAATTAGATGGGTTGACACAGTAAATAGGGCAATAGGTGTAGGTGTGTTAGAGACAGTGATATTGGCTCAGGTTAGGGCAGGGTTCAGAGCTCTTGTGCATAGGGTTGCTATGAGTTTCAGGCACATAACAACAACAGGAGCAAATATTTCAAGAATCTGGGCTATAATGAAGAATGTGTCATAAGGATTGGAGGAAGACTAATCAAAAACCTGTGTTAATGCAGATAAAACAACCTTGCTTGCAGAAAGTGAAAAAGACATGAAAGACATTGAAGACTGCAGCCTTCAATATGAGTTACATCTTAACATCAAGAAAACCAGAATCCTCACTTGTAGACCAGTAGGTAACATCATGATAGATAGCAAAAAGATTGAGGTTGTCAAAATTCTAGTTTCCTAAGATCCACAATCGACACCCAGGATAACAGACGTCAGAAGAGGTGTTGTATTGGAGAAATCAGCTTTTGAGTACTGATCTACAAAGTAATAAAGAGTAAGGATGTCCATTTAGAGACTAAGGTACACCTATTCCTAGCTTTGATGTTCAGTTGTTTCCTGTGCATCTAAAAATCGGACAATGAGTGAGATGACACATTAAAAGAATTGATGTCTTTAAATTGGGATGTTGAAGAAGAGTACCAAATATCCATGGACTGACTGCTGAAATAAGAAACAAGTTTTTCTTGGAGGAAGTGCTGCCAGGGTGCTTCTTAAAGACAAGAATAGAAAAACTTTATCTCACTTACTTTGGACATATTGTCAGCCAGTCTTTTGAAGAAAACATCATACTAGAAAAGATGGAAAGAGAGGAAGACTGTAACAATGGGGTCCAGCATTTTGGAGATGGTGAGGATGGTAGAGGACAGGGCAGGGGTCAGATCTGTTATTCACAGGGTCACTAGGAGTTGTAGATGACTCAGTGACACATAACAGGAACTTGACACCTCAAGGGAAGTGAACAGAGAAGTTTAGAAAATGTATTTTTATTTCAGTTTTGCATTTGAGAGTCAGCCATTTTGGACAATTCTTGTCCAGATTCTTGAAGAGCAGTGAAGTCAGTTTGAGGACTAAGGTGCACCTGATGCAGGCCATGGTCACTTGCTAGGCATCATAGTGCTGGACAATGAATAGGATGACAGAAAAATTGATGCCTTTGAACTGTGGTGTTGGAGAAGAGTGCTGAATATCCCATGGACTCCCAAAAGAAAAAAACACTTACGTCCTGGGGAAGGTTCAGACAGAGTGCTTCTGGGAAGCAAAGATGATAAAGCTTCATCTCACATACATAAAGTTGTTTGGCATGTTGCTACAAGAGGTTATTTCTTGGAGGACATCGTGTTTGGAAAGGTGGAGAGGACCATCCTCAGCCAGATGGATTGGCATAGTGACTGCAGCAATGAGTATGTCAGAGATGATGAGGATGGCACAGGCTAGGACAGAATTCAGATCTGTTGTCTGTAAGGTTGCTATAAGTCGTATTTGAGAGCATCTAGCAACAACAACAACTAACACCCTTATGTCAGCTTTCTATTTCTTGTTGCTTTAGGCAATGAGGACACAGCCATATTCTTGCTTCGTCATGGGGCTTTTTTCTGCTCTTACATCTTGTTGGACAGTCCTGACCCGAGTAAACATCTTCTCAGAAAGTATTTCATAGAAGCCAGCACCTTACCCAGTGGTTGTCCAGGAGAGGTAAGCAGGTACCACTTTGGGGTTGAAAAGCTGAAAACTGATTTTCATATGTTTTATTACAATTTATTGTAGTGTATCAAAGATTGTTCTTAAAATTGGGTAAATGTGTCATATTATTTAAGATGATAAATATTAAAATAAATATTAAATAATATTAAAATATTAAATATTAGGTTGTTAAACAACTTTTTTTATTTTTTAAACAACTTCTTTAAATTTTTTTACATTTTCCTTATTAGATTTTAAAGTTAAGTTTCTTTGAAAAAAATTTCAAAGAAAACTAACATTGCTATTGAATCAGTTTTGACTCGGAGCAATGCTCCTGGGCAGAGTAGAATTGCCCCATTTTGTCCCCAATACTGTCATCTTCACTGGGGAAGGAGCCACATCTTTCTCCCACGAATCAACTGGTAGGTCACAACATTGGCCTCTCTGTTACTACGTGAGTGTTCCACACTGCACCACCAGGGCTCCGTGCCTGTTATAGTAGCTCAAATGAGGATGAATGAAAAGCTTTCTGTCTTGCCACTTGAAGTGAGTCACCAACACCATCACACCATCATTACCCGTGCAAAGCTGTGAAAATATCTTAAGCATATTTTTAAGCAAAAACAGAACAAAAAAACCCACTGCTGCCAAGTGGAGTCCAGTCATAGCAACCCTCCACTGGGGGCCTGAGACTGCCCATCTTCTGCCTTGAAACAGTGGGTGGATTTAGATCTCTTACCCTTTGGTTAACTCTGCCACCAGGACTCCGAATGCTAGGTTTGTTGTTATTGTTTTTGTTGTTGTTGTGTACTGTTGAGCTGGAACCAACCCATAGCTGACCTTTCAAGGGGTTTTCAAGGTCAGTAAATCAATCACATGGAGTAGCTCATGGATTCAAACCGTGTACCTTTGGAATGGCAGCACAACTCCTTACCACTAATCCACCAGAATACCCTTAGATAGAGTTTAGTTTTCTTTTTTGACTATAATAAAAAAAAAGTTTGTTATAGTAGTGTATAACAACATAGTGGTATAAGTATGTATGGGTTACATAATAATGTAATTTCCACCACAAATTTTATTTACATATTATCAGAGTCTTTATAATGGTTTTATCTTCTTCCTTGAAGATTACTAAGAAAATAAATGTTTCTCTCATTTCTAAAATAATGTTGCTGTTGTGTATTGTTGAGTTTAAACTAACCCATAGCTGACCCTCTGGAGGCCTTGAATTGTGTGCCTTCAGGATTACAGTACAGCTATGTTCCTTGGATGGAAGGGGAAGGAGAAAAATGTGCAACAATGAATGAGTAAAAATCCAACTTCTCTGTAAACTTTGTTAAAATAATAATCAAATTTTTTTAAAAAAGCGACTTCGCTGCAATCCTGAAGGCACATGGTTTGAGGCCACACCATCTGCTCCTCGAGGGAAAATGAACAATCTCCTCCCATGAGATTTAATTGTCTCTGAAAACCCACTGGAGGGTCAGCTGTGGGTTGGTTCCAACTTGATGGTACACAACAACACAACAAGATAATGTTACAAAAAAACCCCAAAAAACTACAACACACACAAAAAACCCCAACCAATCCTAAATAAACCAATGAAAAACAGCCTCTAAGTGGTATATATTATTGGTGGTGGAAATTACCACCTTCCTGTCTTACCTCTGGGAGCTCGGTGGTGGAATCTGTGAGGAGCTGCAGCTCAGCCGATAGCAGTACCTCTCTAGTAGTTGGAAACCACCACCAGGTCCTCAGAGCAAAGACAAGCAGTCTTTCTGATTTACAGCCTCTGAGCCCCATTGGAGGGGCAGCTAGACTCCATTCTGTCATGGCAAAAAGAGAAGTGAATTTGAAGTTTTTTACATTTGTTTGTTTGTGGGTTTTTTTTTTAAATCTTGTTTCTTACATTTTGTGTTTCATTTTAAAGAATTCATCTTTGTATGTGGTATTCTAGTGGGGAGTCTGGCTTTCACCTCTTGTAGTTGAATGGCCAATTGTTCCATGCCACTTTTCCTTCTTTTTATAATTTCTATTTTATATTGTTTGCCTACAAAGTTTGTATACATTGTATTTCACACTAGTTGTCATTCACACTGTTTCATACAATCATTCCCATGCATTATGTTTTATAAAATCAATCACCATTGGACTATGCCCACTATTATCCTGACTTTTCAGGTCCCCACCAGATCTTTCCCATTTCCTTTATCCCATCCCTCCAACCACCAAATTGTGCAGCCTTGTAATTTTGCCCCTACCCGTCCTCACCTTTCTGTTCCCTCCCCTTCCCTTCTTGAGTCACCATTCATGTTTTACTTGTTATTCTTCTTTTTATTATAATGGCCTTGTTTGTCCTTATGAAACTGAGTTAATTCACTTGGCATACATTGATATGATGGAATACAACTGTGCAGCACTCAGGAGCAATGATTTTCACACCACTTTTAAAAACAAAACTTCCTTTTTCTCTAAATTGAAGTGCTATCATTGTCATTTTTCCTAGTGTATATCCACACATAATTTGAGGATTCTTTTTACCAAGTCAGAGACTTGTCTGATTCTGACCAAATTAAAATAGACTTTTTTGTTAATAGACATTTTATTCAAGTCTTGGGATCTGTTAACAAAAGTCTGTTCTTTATTGTCTTTTGCAAAGAACTCTTGCTTTTTATCAGATGTTTATTCTTGTGCTTTGCCCATTTCCCATTGTGTTCTATTTATGTAGCTTTTGCTTTGCTTATGTCAGTGAGATTTTTACTATTTTCTTCATAAATATCATGAGCCTGTTTTATTTATTGCTGCCTTATTTGATATTATTTCATTTTATAATACTTCTCCCCCCGCTTCATTTCCATTTCTAGCCTAATGGTATAGTTGTTGTTGTTATGTGCCTTCGAGTTGCTTGCAACTCATAGCGACCCTTTGTACAACAGCCCTAAACACTGTCTTGTCTCCCTGTCTCCGACACACCCACCCCCATTACCCCAGTCACTGAATCAATCCACCTCATAGAGGGTCTTCCCCTCCTGCGCTATCCCTTCACCCTCCCAAGCATGACAGCCCTCTCCAAGGACTGGTCCCTCCTTACAACATATCCAAAGTATGTTAGACAGAGCCTCAGAATCTTTGCCTCCAAGGAGCAGCCTTAATGGTTTGTATAGTTTTGTTTTATCCCGTCCCCTAATCAGGTCTTATTAATGTTAATCTTATTACTTTCCTTGCTGGAGACTTATGTTCAGGTCATAATAATCTTTCTTGTGTGGAGATAAATTTGGATATTCTTTTTCAATCTTTATTCAAATTCTTTCATTTCAAGTCTTATGGTATATTACTCAAAATCAAAACCAATATTATAATGGAAGTATCTCTTGTTCCAGATTTTAAAGGTCTTGATATCAGCAGTTTATGGACGTTTGCTATCAGGTTTTGGTAACTGTACTGTTTCATATTTAGGTAGTTGCCTTATATGCCGTTTTGCTTGGGAGTATAGGAATATTTGCAGAGTGTTGTTACTTGTCCTTTAGGCACCTATTAATAAAGTCATGTAGCTTTGCTACTGTACAGTGTTCATGTAGTGAATGGTAATGATAGATCTTGACCCAATTTAAAATTTTTAGAATAAACACTAGCTAACATTTTCACCGCTGCTCTTTATTAACGGAGTCTCCCTCCACTCTGGGAGCCAGCCGGCTAATTGGGTGGGATGGCTGGCGTCTCCATGGCGTCTCCTCTTGGTGGCAGGCAGTCAGGCAAGGGACATTTCTGGGGTCTTTTGCATTGTGTGTTACTGTCCTTTTGGCTTTCAAAGGTGGATGGGCAGCCCTGACCCCTAGATAAGGGTAATTAAGGGTGGAGTCGAGCCTGTGGAGCCTTCTCCAGGCCCTAGCTTCAAATCCTATAAGGCCCTCTGGCCACAGGCCCTCAGGCCTGCCTTTAATTGTTTTTGGTGAAACATTCTTCTAGGTCCTGTAACCCTGGTATGTCCATTTGCTGTACAGAGGTAACTCGTGGTTGCTGTGAAGCTGAATACTTTTACTTGTGGTGGACATTGTTTGGTGAAGCTCCCCAATTAAAACAAGCTTGGAAGCAGGAGTGGCATCCACTTCCACAATAGCTTGCCTCTGGAAACCCTATGAACCCGGAGAAAGGAAGAAAGTTATACAGGAGGTATCCAGGACTTTCATTCATAGGGTTGCTGTGAGTCACTTGTGATTCGATGACACTTAACAACACAACAGCAACAGCTCTTTATTAATAAGTTTTACATTTATATTTAGAAATAAATTTATTGTATAATCTTCTGTTTTTGTTGCTTTTATGGGCTTTAGGAGTAAGACTATACTAGCTCAGGTGGCCTACGCAGGAAGGAGTTATTCAATCCAAAAACAGTTGATTCCAATATACCAATTGCTCTTGATGCACAGTCTACTCCCACACAACTAATTTACAGCTTCTTAGAATGCACTGGGGGCCCAGTTATGAGTTAGTTCCAACTTGACAGCAGTGAGAGCCAGTGATCTTTACAAAATAGTTCAGGATACTTTCCATTTTATTATGAGAAGTCTAAAGAAATTTCTTAGTAATTGATAAGAAGCTGCTTACCTTTTGAATCCACCAACTGCTCCATAGGAGAAAGATAAACAGTCGCTTCCTGTGCAATTAACTGCCTCCGAAAACCCACTGAAGGGTCAGCTATGGGTTGGTTCCAACTCATTGACAAACAACAACAATGGTAAGGAGTTGTGCTGCCAACCCAGAGGCATGTGGTCCGAATCCAGCACTTGCTCTGTGGGAGGAAGATGAGCATTCTCCTTCTGTGCAATTTACTGAATCTAAAAACCCACTGGAGGGTCAGCTGTGATTTCAAGGGCGCATAACAACAAAGATTAGTTAGATAGAGCTGTCTTAGATAAAGTAGTACTGTGTGTTTTTTTTCAAACGATAACGATTTTTATTGATCTATGCACCAGGAGTATTGAGGAGTATTGATGTCTGTTTGAGGCTAA